GTCCATCCCTTTATGACCACAAAACCGTTACTAGCGTGGTGTACCTAATAAATTGGCCGGTGAGTGTATATTCAGTTGAATACACTACAAAGACAATATTTATTATTTTTAAAGGTAAAGGGCTTACTTGAATGGGCGTTTCGACAGAGCCTTAGTGACGGTACACACATGGTCAGTGACGTCCTGCCAGCTGTCCAGAAAAACCACAGAGACATTTTTGTGGAGTTGGAGGTACAGGAGCACCTGAAAAGAGTTTATAAGAAAGCAAAATGTGGAACAAAATGCACAAAAAAAACGATTTCATAAAAAAAGAGAAACTTACCTCCTCTAGGTCCAGATTTTTCATCCCCAGTTTGGATCGTAGAATCTGTTGTGGCAAAGACTCGCCACGAACTTCTGTCCTGTTGGTAAACCACTACCGTTCACGTGAAGGCTAAAACTAAACACACAAAATCCATGACCTAAGGCACAGAAAGACACACTGACCTGGAAGCTGACTCACAGTCCATCACCAACATCGTCACCACCTCCTTGATGTCCCGGTTGAAAAACTCCAAAAGTGGACGCAGGACGGTCCCTGTCCCTGACTCCACCCCTTCATCGTCCAACATCTGGAGTTCAAACAGATGACACTGTAAGGTCACAAACAACACTGTAAAGCTCCATTATTTGTTGTACAACCACAAAGTGTTGCTTACTTCTTTTACATAGGTTACTRTTTCCACAAAGTCCTCCAGAGTCAGGACCAGGACCATCTGGTCCTCGTCCACAGRGACCTGACCGTTGTCTCCCTGCTAATGTCAAAACTGTCACAATCCACTGAGGAAATAAATAAATAAAATAAAGAAAGACCTTTTATCTGAGAAGCAAGAGCTGCCCACCTGAGGTAAGTCTCTGGTCCAGGTGATGCTGTGAGAGACCTGCTGGCTGTCRATGGTGAACCTCCACTCCAGAGCAGCCAGGGTGTCCAGCAGGAGGTCAGAGCCGTCCTGCTGTAGAAGAGCTGCAGAAAGAAAGCAATGAAACTGGTTGAAAATGTTTGGATTCCATTTATTTATTGTAGACCAACTAAACAGGACAACTCAGGCTGCTTGAAGTCGATAAGTTTAGAAATACTTTTTATTTAGGATATCTCAGAAAGCTTTTATCCTGGAAGCTTATTATTTAACTAAATTGTTTTAGATATTTTGTATATATATATATATATATATATATATACAGTATGTGTACTGTTTTTATCACTGTACCTATAAATTATAATAAACGTATACGATGCATTCAGTAACTTTTGAAGATGAACAAACTGAAGAAAAATAACTTTCTGTAGAAATGTAGTGCGACTGCTGAGAGTTGAGTAACTGCTGAAATTTGATAAAGAAGCAGCTGAAACTGAGCTGATAACTAACAGCTCAAAGAGGACGAGAYACAAACTACAGTTAAAAGGCTAAATGCTAGTTAAAAGCTGTATGAAGCAGACTTAACTAAAAGCTAATGCAAAAGGCTTGATAAATGTCAACAGTAGCAAAAGGCTAGCTAAAAGCTACTTGTAGCAAAATGCTAAGTAAAAGCAGCAAACGTTGAGTAAAAAGCTAAAATAAGCAAACAGCTAGTTAATAGACAAAAGTAGCAAAARGCTAACTAAAAGCTAAATTAGCAAAAAATATAGGCTAAAAGTTAATAGCAGCACAATGCTAACTAAAACAGCAAAGGCTAACTAAAAACCTAAAAGCATCACAAAAAAATAATAAAGAGCAAGTATGATTAAAAAAAGATTCAAAAGAGAGCAATGTTTTTGAAGACATCCAAGATATAATGTATTTCTATGGGGACATTTTTTTTGCATATAATATTTTCAAAAGTAAAAGTTACAAACTGCTAAGTATTGCTCCTTTCTTCATAAAGAACTGAATGTTTATTCATTTGAAATCTATTTCACCATGTAAACTCCAGAAGAATATGCTAAGGGGATCCTTTAAATAAGAAAAATGGTTTGATGTATAGTTGACTAAACTATAGTTAGACAAATAGAAGCGAAAATAAATAAACACAGGAAAACAATAAATAAAATACCCTTAAATAAACATGAATGGAACAATGAAAGATGCGAACACATGTGTCCGACAGTCCGTGAAGGCAGCACCTACCTGCGTCAATGCAGACGTTGAGGTTTTTAATGCAGTTTTCTGGCCGGAGTTGCTTGAGCTCCTCGGCGGCCTCTCTTCTCCTCTGCTGCTCCCGCCTCTTCTCCTCCTTCTCCTGGGCTCTGGCGGCTCTCTGCCTTTCCCTGGCATCTTTCCTCTCCTTGGTTTTCCGTCTGTCAGCTTCGATCTCCTCTTTAGTGCGGCGTTTTCGTCCTGGACTCGCCGTGCGGGAGGAGGACTCGGTGTCCTTTTTGATTGGAGAAGTTTGTTCTTCTCGATTTAAATCGGGTTTTGGTTCAACATCACTTTCCTCTGATTCAGATATTTCCCACTCTTTAGCTCTGCGTAAGAAAGTCATTTCACATGTTTCAAATTCCTATTTTCCACATGGATGCGATGCTTCAGCAGCGATGGTGTCCGCTTAGGGACAAACCACCTGAAAACGCGCTTTGTATCAATGAGCGCTTTTTAAAAAACAACTTTTCCCAGTTTTTATTGATAAAAGGAACCCTGCCATCAGTTAGATTATGTTTCTTTAATTAGAAACAACAGAAGGCAAAGAGAGACAACAGCTGCTGTCACCAGGTGGACAATAAACCAGCTTATGCAGCCGTTGTTTACTGGATTACCTCTAAGGACATAAACACTGATCTAATTTGTAGGGTTGTGGATAATTACCTAAAATGCAAAAGCTATAAATACACTGCTAAAAAAAAAAAGGGAACACTTAAACAACGCACGCTAAGTCCAAGTAAATCAAACTTTTGTGAAGCACATTCAACTCTGTACAGAACAAAGTACTCAATGCGAATATTTCATTGATTAAGATCGGGAGTTAGCGTGCGTTGTTTAAGTGTTCCCTTTATTTTTTTGAGCAGTGTATATATTTTTTTAATTATGGAAAAAAACATGCAGCGTTTTGAAGGAAGCTGAAGTGAGCTTCCGATTCCAGCTTCCGATTCGGGAAATGACTAAAGGGCGATTACAACTAATTTTTCACCACCTTCAGCATATTTAATCTGCTCTAGTTTAAAAACTAAAATACCTAGACTCTTCAAACCTGGACTAGATTGTTCTTCACCAATAGCAGAATAATTAAAACTTAGTTTGGGATTTGTGAAAACTTTTTCTGATTTGTGAAACCTCAGCAAAGATCGCTTTTCATCATTTTTCAGGCAACTGGACCACACTAGACCTGGTCCAGCTCTGAAACCACAACACCTGGACTCTTCAAACCTAGACTAAATTATTCTACATTAATAAAAAGAATATATAAAACTTAGTTTGGGATTTGTGAAAACTTTTCCTGATTTGTGAAACTTCATCAAATTTAGTTTTTTATCATTTTTGTGCATCCGGACCACACTAGACCTGGTCCAGCTCCAAAACCACAACACCTAGACTCTTCAAACCTGGACTAGAATGTTCTTCACCAATAGCAGAATAATTAAAACTTAGTTTGGGATTTGTGAAAACTTTTCCTGATTTGTGAAACTTCAGCAAAGATTTTTCAGGCAACTGGACCACACTAGACCTGGTCCAGCTCCAAAACCACAACACCTAGACTCTTCAAACCTGGACTAGAATGTTCTTCACCAATAGCAGAATAATTAAAACTTAGTTTGGGATTTGTGAAAACTTTTCCTGATTTGTGA